CCCCCCCCAGAAAGCTCCAACTTTTGTTCCCACATGAACAACGTAGCTTTTTGTTCTATTGTCAGCTGTGGGGGCTCTTATGTCAGCCCTCTTCCCATTCTGTTTTATTTGGCTCCCTGGCCATAAGGTGATTCTGCAGAATTTAAATTGCTTCAGTTTTATAGAAAAACCATACATTTAAATTTACAATAATAGCAGGGTTGCTTTTTCATGATTTCAATTGTAACCACTTAAAAATAAGTTTGTGAACCTTCTTTATTGCTTCTTAGAGGACTCTTTAGAGCATATGTGTGTTGTAGAGGCAGTGTGGTACAATGGGTAAAGGTCCCGAAGGCAGACCGCCTGGGTTCAGATCTTGACTCCACCCCCTGGGGCAGGCAAGTTCATCCTTCCTCCTTGGTTTCCTCACGATAGGTAAGGGCTGTTGCGAGACACACAATGCACAGTCTGGCTTGTTGTAAACTTAGCCACTGAGTATTAAATATTGTTAGGTTACCAGTTTGATTTAGCTTGAAGGAAGGAGAAACCCTACTTAAGGAGAGGCATGTGGTATAGCAAACAAGTCCACATAGGTTTTAGAGTCGGACAGATTTGGATCTGAATCCTAGCTCTATCGCCTGTTAGCTGGGTCCTGGCTTGGGCAGGTGATGTTATCTCTCTACATTTTTCTGGAATGAGATGGGTGTTCTGACTGGTTGACTATGTTTTGGGTCTCCAGGGATTAGCGTCAGTTCAGAGCTAGCGTCCAGTAACCCTTAGGAGGATCACGCATTTCCCATTCCCCAGTGACGGTCACCCTTGTGAATGTCTGGCTGCAGGTCCCTCTTGGGGAAGGTCTGGAGAAAGATTGATGGGATACATTGTGATTGTGTATAAGGTCACAGTAATTTTATATTTAATCTAACATTCTCTGGTCTGACATCCTTTGAATGTATTTGCATATGTGTTCCTCAGATTCCTGCTGGTAAAAAATTGTTGAGATTCTGCAAATGTTTTAGTATAAAGGCAATCTCCTTCCAGAGTAGGCTCTGAACTTCTGAGTTCTTTGGGGATCTAACTTCCACTAGGCAATGAGGGGTGATGGGATAAGTAGTAAGGAAAATTGGCATCCCCTTGTGAAACAACTTGAGAAAGTTGATGGGGGGGCCAGGTTTGGGAGGCTGAGACTTCAGAGGGGCATAGGTTGCTGCTTTCAGCAGGGATGTTCAGCTAAATATGGAGTTCAACATTCTTAGCCTCATTGCGTTTGCCCAAGTGCTTGCATCTGCTCTTCAGGATGACTCCCCTTTCCAGCCAGTACCCTTGTGTTAGCATAGAAGGCTTTCCGGGGTTGTGTGTTTAACTGGCTCTGCAACACTTACCATCAGACTCTGGGCTTGATCCATAGTCCTATCAGCTAGAAGCTATAAGAGAAATCTAACAGCCGTAGATTTTCCACCCATCCATCTGCTTGGGAATTTATGACTTTCACATTGTCATCTTTGTGCATATTCTCAAAGTCAACCAGAAGCAGCCACTGCCCAGGTCACAGCCTTTGAAATCAGCATTTTCATCATCCACATGGCCTTTCAGCACCTTGCCCACTGCCTGCACCCGTCCTGTGACACTGTGGGAGGAAGTTTGAGTGATTACAATATCTCTGTGTGCCTGGTGACCGGTTCCCCATCCCCTCCCTCCGCAGGAAGGTGATCACGGTATTCCTCGAACATGCATCCCATTTTGAGGGCCTGTTTCCTGGAGTCATTCTTGGTCCCATGACACTCAAAAGTAACCGAAGGGAATCTAACAAAGGGGCTGTTTACTGAGCTGTCATGGGCCGGGGCAAGAACTAGCAGGGCGTGGAGAAGCACCCCTTCTCTAACAATGTTTGGAAGCTGTTACTACTCCCAGGGCTTCTGTGGCTGTGAAAGAGAGGCCACCAGGTAGGAACTGTAGCCTTAGGTAGAGAAACCACTGCCTGTTAGAAAGGGAGCAGGGAGAATAAATACCTTAGCATCTTCCTCTTCTGGAAGGGCAAATGGAGGGTGTCTAGCACAGTTTGCAAACAGAGATCTCTGGTCAAGATTTGAGGACTGGACTTTTACAGTTAACTGCCTGCTGTTGTACACGCACGCTTAGGTGTCCCTGGGCACCTTGTATGAAACAGCTTATCTTGTCGCCTCCCCCCCCCCATGCTTCTCTGTTCATGAGGCCACTTAATGTCATACCTTCTTTCTTTTTTAAAATTTTTCCCCCATCACCATTTATCCCCTCTGTGCCCTCTCCCACCTCCCCACCCCCCTCAGTCACCACACTGTTGTCCATGTCCATGTAATGTCATATCTTCTTGTCCCTTCCAACTGGGCGCCCTGAGGCATGATGTTCTCCTGTAGTTGTGCTCCTGTAGACCATGCACAGTAAGGCACAGACATACATTCAAACTCGTACATAATTCAGTACCAGCAGGACCTACCACCCTCTGGATCCCACATTCTCAAGGAGCAGTTTAGTACCATTACTTTCACCTCTCACCTCTCGTCATTTCTGCTGCAGATAGAGAAGGAAGGGCTGGTGTGGGTCCTGGGGCTCCTAGACAAGACTGATATTTCTTAGAAGAGCTGTGGGTTCCACCTGCTCTAATTCTTTAGCAGTAGAGTGATGTGACTGGAGGGCAAGGCTAGGCTCAGGTGACTGTCCTGGTCTAATGGAGCGGGAGTCAAAGAAGCTGCTTTTATGGAGTTATAGGGCTCTAACTTAGACAAATGCTGTACCCCAAGCTTAGGAGGGGCTAGTTACATTTCCATGTTTTCTAACAACTAATTCAGCTACATGTAAATCCTTCCTGACTTCCAGCAGCAAATCCAACAAAGTAGGTTTTGAATTATCTTAAAGGAAACACGCTGATAATTAGATAAACTCATTATTTTATTGAATATTCAATGCCTGTTGATAGATATTTGAAATTAATCACCAAGAGAGACTGACAAACTAACCCTTTAAAAGTGGATGGGCAAGTTCTTTAACCCCTCTGTGTCTCAGTTGCCTCATTTGTAAAATGAGGGTAACTAGTTGCCTACTGTAGAGGATCCCAATCTAAAGCAAGCTCTGCCTGCTCATCCTGATGCAAAAATTCTGAAAACTATACTTTGAAAAACCCTGCTCTGAATCCATCAAATTAGAGCCCTTTTAGGTGAGAGGTAGCCCTTAGTCCACATGAACTGTGGTATAGAAGTTCCCGGGATTTCTTAGCCGAGGGTGGAGAAGGTGAGTGGGATGCAATGTTTGATTGTGGTTTAGCTATTAAAAGGGATATAACAGAAACTAAACCTCTAACCTGGGATGAGACGTATGATTAAAAGTAAATTCCTATCAGAATAAGCATAAAGTTGATCCTGTGAACAGGGAATGACAAGTCATGGTATTTTTAAATTGTTTTGCTAATCACTTTTTCTTCTTCTTTTTTCTGTTGGTTAAGGTTGCATGATGGAATTTGAACATTACAAGAAGTTTTATATTTTGGATTAGCTAATCGTGTTTGTCCTCTGCTGACCGTTTCTTTGGACCCATTCTTTGGTACCTTTTGAGACCATAAACCCAAAGGGATTATACCATGGACTACAAGGAAAGCTGCCCAAGTGTAAGCATTCCCAGCTCTGACGAACACAGAGAGAAAAAGAAGAGGTTTACTGTAAGTATGCAGCGTAAAGCATATGGGGAAAAATGGAATATAGAGAATATTCCGGTTTAATGGACCTGGAAGTCATTGATCCCATTTTAAGAACCATTATCTTGAAATTTCCATAGTATCTTTCTTAAGACATTTATTATTTTCTACCTCAGTTTTAAAAATATGTAGCCCAGTCTTTTATCTCTTTTTTCACCGTAGAGGCAAAGCCCATTTCTAATTTTACTTTTTATCACTGTAGGATCTACTATATGGCTTTATAAAGAATAAACACAGTGAATATTTGCTGAGTCAGTGTATCGGTGACTATTATTGGAGAATAGTCATTTTTCTAATTAGTATAATGAAACATATAATATTGTATTTAGTTCCATTAGTTCTGTTAGTATATACAGAGATCTCCTGCCCTCCTCCCCCTGAAAAAATGTCACTTATCTTGTCTATAACTCATCTGGTCTTCCTTGTAAACCCCCACCCACTGAGTGGTCTGAATGAATTCATTTAATCCACTTCTGTTTAAGCTAAACAGAATCAGTTTGAGCTAAAATTTAGGCAGTTTTTTTAAGTAAAAATGCCCAGGCTGTCTCCAATCTGCTCTTTCTCTTACTGAACACACACTCCTCCACCTTGGCATCTTGGGTTTACGGGAGGAGTGGGGTCCCCTTTCACAGTGTTTGTTGAGTCAATGACTGACCTCACAGTATCGGTTAAACTCTTTGTCTGACCACTCCACTCTGCCTTCTTAACTTAGTGAGGCTGGGACCTAATGGTGGTTTTCCCCTAAAGTCCCAGACCAGGAGCTGTTCTTCCTTCCTTAATACCTCTATACCCTGCACCAAAGCCCAGAGCTGAGACATTGTAATGTGTGTCTGGCCATTTGCTCTCCACCAGTCTCTGTGTTGTGGTAATGTCTTAACAAGCACTGTGCATTTATTCCACATTTGTATAAGCAAATTTTAGAATATCACATTGATAGTAAATAAGAGGTCAGTGTACCTTGGGTAAAATAGTGAAATATGTGAAAGTTTTCCTTCCTTTCCCGCCCTTATTTTTACCTTTGGGCCATTCTCTCCTTCAAGGGCATAACCTCCTGCCAAGTTTGAGGGAAGTTCATACATAGCAAATATCAACAGTAGGTTATCTCAGGTATCCTGTTTTTTCTGGTAGAGGTAGTACTCATATGTCTTTTATGTAGCTCTACACTGTAAAGCTTCTAACAAAATTGCATTGTATCCTGGGATGTTTTGACTTAAACTAAGTCTAAATTATACTTTCATTTATCCACTCAACAAATTGTCATTGAGTTTCTTTGTTATGTCAGACACTGTTCTAGGCACTGGGGATACAGTAGGTAGTAAGAATGACATGGCCCTTGTTCTCAAGGAACTTACATTCTGGTGGGGCAAGACAGATAATAAGGAAATATTTTTAAAACTCAAGATAATTTCCTATTGTAATAAATATTATACTGCTTTTTGTGAAATCTTGTGATTTTTTTTCAAATAAAAATGTTTTTTAAAATTTGAAGAGTTTTTGTTTTTGCCTATTGATTTTTTTAAATTAAAATATGTTTTTATTGATTTTATAGAGGGGGAGAGAGAGAGAAACATCGAGAGAGAATCATTATTTGGTTGCCTCCTGCATGCCCCCTACTGGGGATCGAGCCTGCAACCTAGGCATATACCCTGACCTGGAATCGAACCAGGAACCTCTAGGTGCATGGGATGACACTCAGCCAACTGAACCACACCAGCCAGGCCTATTGATGTTTTTTTATTAGAACTTAATAAGCCCTTGTTAATAAATCCTATTGCTAATTAATAATTCACGGGGCTTTATCTTAACTCCTGTAAATGTATTTGTAGAATAGCTGCTTCAGCCTGGAACCCAGGCTTGGGTTCTAGTCTTGTCTATACTTGGGTAATGATGGGAAGCCACCTTACCACACCAGGAATTAGTAGAAGTAATTCAAGAAGCTTGCAATCAGATAAACTTAAGTTTCCGATCCTTTTGTAGCAGTCCTGCTCCAGGCCTATTTGATCCTGAATGATGTATGAGATAAATATGTAGTCTAGTCTTAGAAGGATGGCTCACCTTCACTGGCACCTTGACCAAGTTCTTGACCTACTCCTACACACTCTCCATGTGAGCAGTATCATCTTACAAACAATTCTGACATCTTATATATCCAATACCTTCTTGGTTAGGACCGGAAGAGCCATATCACCACCCTATAGCTCACGTAGGTGCTCTTTTTCTGTCAGCAAAGGTGATTCATCACTTACCCAGATGTCTGATACCAATGACTTTGCTTCACCTTCCAGGTGAATCCTTAACTCCTTTCACTGTCAGCCTGTTGATGTGATCATATCTTAAAATGATACTACAGAATTCGTACAATCTAATCACATACAGTTTCAGAGAGGTCCTTTCCTCACAGTATTACCTAATTATGAACTTCTAAGTATAGCTTACCAGTCTTTCATGGGAAAGGATAGTTTATATATGTTTGTATGCCCATCTTCCAAAATTAGCCTGGTTTACTTTAACTTGTCTAACAGATTGGGGGCAATTGTATTGTAAACCCCAAAGCAACTCCTATCTCTTTCCCCTAGTCTTACACTGTAAAATGATGAGATTGATTACTGAAGCTATACACCAGTGACCTTTTTCTCATAAACCTTGAAAATACAAGATTTTTGGGGTCTCAAACAGTTTTCTCTACACTGGTATGTTAAATTGTAATCTGAGAGTATCTGTGGGATGAATTATGAGAGTTGATTCTGTATTATAACTGTTGATAATTTGATTCTGGTGCACAGAGGGTTAGAAGATTTAGATCTGAGTTTCCACAAGTCTGTGTACTTTGGCAAGTTACTTAACTTTTTGGGGCCATCATTTACTCATATGTATAGTGGGGGGTATAATATTTGTTCTGCTTCATAGGGTTGTTGACTATGGTTATATGGTTATATGCAATTATGTGTATATGAAAATATTAAATACATGTAAGGTAGTAGTAGGAAATCTGAGGATAAATTCTTAGTTTGAAAAATACTGGGTAGCCCTGCTGGCGTGGCTCAGCGGTTGAGCATCGACCTATGGCAAGAGGTCCCCGGTTCGATTCCCAGTCAGGGCACATGCCCAGGTTGATGACCTGGAAGAAGGAGAACTAATAATTGAGTATTGACTATGTACCAGGCATCGCTTTTGAAAATACTTCTTGGTTTCAGGATAATGTTACTGCTGGGGAAGAATAGAGGAGAAATATCATCAGTTGAATCTGTAATGTTTTATTCTTGGGGAAAAAATCTGAAACAAGAATGACAAAATGTTAGAATTCACCTAAGTATTGAGTGCATGGGTGTTTACTGTGTTATTCCCTGAAAATTATAGAAATACTTTATAACATTTTAAAAATAAAGCATCACCTTTCAACAGGATGAAATAAGTGTTTCAGTTGGTAGACTTTTGTACCTTGGAGAGTCATATATAAACATTAATATCTAATATTAGTTTCATGAGTATGAAAACATTATTCATATATTTAGTTAATGGGTTTTTTGCAATCAAATTTTATTGTTATTTTTTTTTGTTTTCACAGGTTTATAAAGTTCTGGTCTCAGTGGGCAGGAGTGAGTGGTTTGTCTTCAGGAGATATGCAGAATTTGATAAGCTTTACAATACTGTAAGTAATGGTCAGTTTACAAGATTTTTATGTAAAACAAAACACCTGAGAAAACTAAAAAATAAGAGATTTTATTTGAATGATTAAGTAATATTCATATATATCAGACAAGCAGAAAAGAGTAAGAGATTCTTCAAAAACATTCTAACTTTGGAATTCTTACACAAAAGGTTGGAGAGGGGGCTCTTGAGAAGGTCCAAATAAAGTACTGAAGATATGAAAACGAGATGTACAGCTTAAAATATATTTTAATATTATAGGATATTAGAAAAAATCCTTTATATCTACCTCTCCAATAATTATTAATCATTATGTTATTCCTGGTTAAATTGCCCAATTCTTAGCTTTATTGTGTTTTCTTCTGTTATTTAGTTTTTCTTTAATGCATATGCAACTGAAACTTACTGTGTATAGCTTTAAATATTACTTAATATTGATTAAGACAGTCTTTTTTGACTGTAAGTGAAGTCGCACTTTTGAAACAACATAATAGCCAGTAAGAGTTTGTACATGAAAATATCTTCTATAATTTTTTTCAGTGATTTTTTAAAAATGGTTTATATTGGAAGCTGGGTGAGGGATGAATTGCTAGCTCTATTTGAAATTCTTGGATACCATTATGTACACGACTCGCATTTTTTGATAATTGTACAAACCTTACTGTACTATCAGGATACCTGGGTTATACTCAGGTAAAAATGTCATAATGATAACATAACATGTGCGCACTCACACTGATGGTTTATATGAATTTTTTAGAGAGATGAGACCAGACTTTGTGCAGTGAACTACTAAGAACTGAAAATTTGAGATTTCTTTATATATTTTGCTTAAAAGATACATATAGGCCAGATTTACCTTCTAAAAATGTCTCCTTTTGTAGAACTGTTTATAAGAGGGAGGACTGTAAGGGAAGTCATCTAAAAACTGGGCAGTGTGGAGGTCTGCATGAGTGAAAAGCTTAGCATCCTTGGGATGGTTTCATTTTAAATAGCTGGGGATTAATTAGGTAGAGTTAATATTTGAGTATCTTTAAGCATAAGGTGAAGTAGGAAAGATTGTGTGGGGCATTTTCCCCACCGTGATCACGTTCATTCTCTTTCTATCAAACACCCCATTTTACGTTTTTTGCAGACAGTTTTTCTTAACATGTAGTTGAGTTTTTACTATCTGTCTTCCTCATTTTTCCAGTATTTCTCTTTTTCCATTATTTTCTCGTTTCCTCATTTTCTGTCCCTGCCTCTCTCTTTTTATATAACCCCTTCCAATTCTGCCTCCTGTGGTGAGGGGTAAAGAAAAAAACAGGGGAATGGTATTAGTTGTGTTCTTTCAAATTACAGAAGTGAGTTGAAACTGGGCCTGGATTTCCCTAACTTTGAAAATACAAATTCTTATGCTTCTTTTAGAATAAAAGACAAAAGTGTAATTTCCAATCTGTAAACATTTAAAAATACTAGTTTAAATGTGTTTTTATGACTGTTGTTTACATTTTTAAACTTTTGATTGTAGAAATTGTTGAACACCCACAGAGGTAGAGAGCCTAGTACAAACACAGAAAATAATATAATGTACCATCCAGCTTCAATATTTACATGGCCATTCTTGTTCCATCTCTGGCCCTAGCCAGTAAATTTCATTCATCATATCATTTCATCTGTAAATATTTTAGTATCATCTCTAAAAAAATAAAGGTCCTTAAAAACACACACACACACGATATCATTATCACATCTAAAGCTAAATTAATGATAATGTCTTAATATCATATAATCACTCAGCATTTATGTGACTGGCTGATAAGTCTATTAAGTGTCTTTTAATCTTCCACCTCTCTTATCTTTCCTTTACAGCTTTTTGTTGAAAAAGCAGTGTCATTTGTTTGCAGACTTTTCAGTCTGGATTTTGCTGATAGCATGCCCGTGGTGTAGAGTGATTAACACATTCTCCTATTCTTTCTATTTCCTGTCAGTTGGTAGTTCGATATATAGTTTCTGTGTGTGGGAGGGGGGAAGGAAGGGCTCTTACCTGAAGCTTATAATAAAAACAAGCATTAACCTGTAATCCAAATTTAAGCTCTTCAGGGCCAAGTTGTTCCTTCTCTGGAGATAAACAAATCTGATGAATGTATTAGAATAGCAATAGGGGGAAGGCTGAAGGAGAGGATGTGGAAAGCAAAATTCATCAGCTTTCTTAGAAAACAATTGTCAATCTGTTCATATAGAAAGAACACAAAGATCACATCTTCCCCTGAGGTAATAAATGGTGAGTAACATGTATTCAAAACTTATATACCAGATTCTAGTCTAAGCACTTAACATAAATGATTTCCTTTAAGCCTCACGACAAATCTATAAGGTAAGTGCTAAAATTATCCTTATTTACAGGCAAGAAAACTGAGGCGCAGAGATGTTAAGTAACTTATCCAAGGTCACAAAGCTTCTAAGTGTTTTATTGGCATGAAATAGGATGTTTAGACAGACTATTGTATTTTATTGGTATAATTTAATATTATACATTTGATCGTGATATAGTTAAAGTATGTCTTACAGTAGATTTTTTTTTTGGCAAATCAGATTGTATTTAATTTTGGTGCATGTATAACTAGAAGACTTATAAAATTAAGTTCATACAGTGTTATTTTTTAAATTCTAGTTAAAGAAACAATTTCCTGCCATGGCCCTGAAGATTCCTGCCAAGCGAATATTTGGTGATAATTTTGATCCTGGTAAGCAGTAACTTCATAGACCAGCCATAAGTGATGGTTGAAGTTTGAAGGTATAGTTAACACAGTCATTGTACTGTATAGTAATACAAGAGTTTACAAAGGTAGTTGATCTCATACTCTATGAAAATAATGCCTCAGGAAGGTACTTACTGAGTATCTTGGTCCAATTGCAGTATGCCAGGCAGTTTTAAGCACATTACATGTTGTAATTCATTCAGTCCTCACAACAACCCTTTGAGTTGGATATTATTAGTATATCACTATTTTTTAGCTAAGGAAACTGAGGCATAGTTAGAGTCACATACAGCTAGTAAATGTCAAGTTTGGAAGTTTAAGTAGTCAGGCTTCAGGTAAATTTATTGATCATTAAAGATTATTTGGAGTGCTTTGCTAACCGTGAAGGACACTTTGTTACATCGAGAAACATTTATCAAAAGTATACTCTGTACATAGCACCCCGCAAGCCTCTAAATGGGATACCAAGAAAATGTCCTATTGGTCACCCTTGGGGAGCACAATGCCACAAAGGGTCTCAGCAATCTGGAGCCTGTATGTCTGACGCCTCGGACTGGAGCTTTTCACTAGAATCTGAGAAGTCAATCCAGGTCACTTACAGAGAGACAGAAGTCTCCTAATCCACCAGAAATCCTATAAGAAAAGTCATCTGTCTGAGTCACAGATGAATCCTGACAAGCCAGAGTGCCCTCCCTCCATAGCATCTTACTCAGTTATTTTGCTTGTAACCCTGTAACCTATTAAACCTGCGATTCCTTACAGGTCTGCTTTCTTGGTCCACTTGCTCTCTACCAGATGGCTCTCATGTTGCTTATCTTGACTGTTTTTCCCCGTTTCTTTCCTTCCCAAGCCTTTTCAGTGTGCTGTGTGAAATTCTGCCCATGACGAACAGCTTTCTCTTTACCCTTCATCATTTTCGTATTTCTTTCACATTCTTGCTTTAGTTAAAACTTAGCTTTCCCCCTGAGGCTGCAGGACGATCCCCTGTAACCCTCTCAACCGGAGGCTCTTTATTCTTTTACACGTTATGAACTCAGGATTGGCAAGGATTCTCACTTCCCCTAGCATATGTAGAATTTTTTTTTGCGTTTGTAACTACATCATTCACAGGAAACTAGAGGATTCGCAAGGCTAAGCCACTGTCCCAAGCCGCACAGCTAAAATGTGGAGAGTTGCTCATCCAGGCTTGTTTGTTTGGCTTATCCCCCTTACTCTACTGTCTGATTAATGTGTGGTCCTTTAAAAACAAAATTTACAAACTTTTATGTGCATTTTATTTTAAAATTACTTGTTTGGATCATTACAAAACTCTTACCCTGTTTCCCGATCTGAAAGGTGTGGGTTAAAGATAAAAGGATCTCTGTGGTCCCTGCAGACTCTAAACAGCCTTCGATTGTGAACATAATCAGGTTGTTCTGGCCACAAGTAGCAGTGTTAGGACAAAAACCCAAGGTCTCCTTCAGTCAGAGTTTGCTTTTTTTACCCCTGTCCTACAGTGTTGGAGATTGTCTCCTCTTGGATGATTTTTCTAGATGCACTGAAATGACAGATATTTATAGGTCAGTTTAATACTTATTCTGGAGACTAAAGCTTTCATTTTATTATTTAAGCATTAAGTCCTTTCAGATCTCTAATGGAAACACCTTTGAATAACAACAGGTACATTCACGTATATTCTTAATTGGAGAGATTTTTAAAAATATATATTTCCAGCTATAATTCTTTTTTTTTTTCTTTCCTCACCTAAGGATATGTTTTTATTGATTTGAGGGGCGGGGGGGGAGAGAGAAACATCGATCAGTTGCCTCCCATACACGTCCCAACCAAGGATCAAATCTTAAATCTAGATATGTGCCCTGAGTGGGACTCAAACCTGCAGCCTTTTGGTGCTCCAACCCAGCCAGGGTTCCAACTATAATTCTTAAAGATAATATGTCAGCCTTATAAATTCTTGGAACTTAACCTATAATGGGGCTGGCGTGCATTTTAGTCTTATCTGGAATTTTTTCAGATAGTTGAATGCTTGATGTTGCTCTAAAAATTAAACTTGGAATGCCCCTAAATTCTGACTGTCGCTGGTCTTCCTTTTTCATTACCAACTTCTTTTATTTATCTTCTTTAAGGCTTTCAAAACTGTTTCGGTTCAATAATGAAGTAAAAAATCTAGTAGCACTTAATGTGGCATGGGCTATAGCTCCCTGAAGAAAGCAAATCACTCTTTTGTCACAACCCGTCTTCCAATATCAAATGTACATCAGTAAATATCCACAGAACAATTTAAAGCTGCTTCCATGTAGTCATTAGATTTTCTTTAAATATCTCACGTAGAGTCATTCTAATTCTCCCTCCCGTTACTTACTAAGCCCAGTTCCTGAAAACAGACTTTCAAGTGTAGTTTTTAACGTAAACCTCACGTATGCTTTACTGTCTGGTGACATAAAGAATGCTCTTGGACCTAGGTGGTTTGGCACAGTGCTTAGAGCAGCGGCCTGCAGACTGAGGGGTCCCAGGTTCGATTCTGGCCAAGGGCACATTCCTCTGTTGCAGGCTCGATCCCCAGCCCTGGTTGGAGGCAACCAATCGATGTGTCTCTTTCACATCGATGTTTCTATCTCTCTTTTCCCCCCTTCTACTTTCTCTGAAAAACAATGGAGAAAATATCCTCAGATGAGGATTTAAAAAAAAAAAAAAGAACGCCCTTGGAAGAGTTTTACAAGATACCTTCCTGAAATTCTTCAAGAAATTCATAGTTGAACAAGAAAAAGGTATGCCAGGTGCATCTGGATCTGAGAGACCAGATCTAATTTATATTTGCTCTTTTATATCCAGACCTTACATTTCAGAAAGGTCTCTTAAGAAACGGAAATAAACCTATGTGACTGGAAACAACCCATAATTTGGGTGACAAACACTATACATTAAAACCTTGGTTGAGTAGAAATCATTTTACTAAACCAAAACTCACTCACTGTTAAGTTGAATGTTGTTTACAAGTTTTTTTGGAGACAAATAACATTTTGAGATACTTTCTCAAGTCTCCTGTTTCTTCAGTTTTTAGAATATACAGGTGCTCCTCAACTTACATTACACCCCGATAAACCCGCTGTAAGTTGAAAATATCAAAAGTAGAAAATGCATTGAATATACCTAGTCTACCGAATGTCATAGCTTAGCCTAGCCCAGACCTTCAACGTGCTCCAGACACTTACATTAGCCTGCGGTTGGGCAAAATCATCTTGTTGCCACAGAGATGATTGTGCTGCATATTATTAGCCTGGGGACAGATCAAAATTCACAGTATGGTTTCTACTGAATTCTAAGCCCTTTTACACCATTATAAAATTGAAAAATCTTAAGTTGAACCATTGTAAGTCAGGGACCATCTATATTTCTTAAGAATTTGGTTTAGGGTGATGGCTTTTTGACACAACAACAAAAGGAGGCATTCTACACTAAACTTATTCTATGCAGTCATATTTAATCCTATAACAGCAGTATGAGGTATAAATATTGTTATTCCTGTTATATAAGTAAGGACTTAAGTCTTAGAAAGGTTCAAGGTTAGTTAGCTAATACATAGCAGAGATAAGATACTTGAATACAGCTTTCTAATTCTAAGAAATCTTTGTGCGTAACCTCTATTGCTAAACTGCTGTTGCACGAACCTCAGTCATCAACAGTGAAAACACTTTGAAGATGTTGGACAATTATTTGTTAGGAAAGTGTTCAAGTGTATTTTTCAAGGGTGTTTTTTGTTGTTGTTTTTAGCAGCAGGTGTTTTTTTAGCATCAGAGTTTTGGTGAAACTCAAGTAACCAATTAATCATTCCCAAGTTGCAAGGATTTCCAGTAATTCTTGGGTTTTTTTGTTTGTTTATTTTTTAATTAGCATGATTTTTTCAGTCACCAGTGTCATAGTGTTAATTTTTATCCCTTACTTGGTAGTACAGGAGGAATTGGACCAAGCAAATGCCTCCGGTTTTTGTAGTGAGTCTGTTTAAAACCTAAAATAGTCATTTTGGGGAGAATTTTATTTTGGGGGATATGTTATCTGCTTTAGTATTTGTTTTGTTTTCTATTGTATATCAAGAAACATAAGAAATAGCTTCTTGATCAGAATTCGCTTATATCTGTTCTTCTATAATTATATTGATAATTATGTAGTCTGACAAAAATAATCCTAATAGCTTATATCTCTTTTAACAGATTTTATCAAACAAAGAAGAGCAGGACTGAATGAATTCATTCAGAACTTAGTTAGGCATCCAGAGCTTTACAACCAGTAAGTAATTATCATTGTGTTCTGAAGACGCACTGAAATCAAACCTAAGAATATTGAATAAGTTACTGCCAAAGATTTTCTATGTTCTGTAGAATGTCAGTGTGCTGTATATAATGTGTGTGTTTGTGCGCTTGTAAACGCTTCCTCAAGCATTTCTCCCTAGTGACTGGAAACAGTAACCTTTATAACTCCTTTTTTGACCATCAACTCAAGGTCCTAGTTATTTTCTTTCTGCCTTTTGCACTTGTATTGGTTTTGTAAATTAAACTTGAAAGGAATTTGCATAGTACACAGTTAAAATATTTTGCTAATTGTTCAGTGTTACATTTATTCATACATTCAAACAGCATTTGTTAAGTACTTGCTGTGCGCACTGGGAACATAAAGAGTACTGAGTGCCATTCCTATGTTCCAGAGGCATAGGCTTCCAGTCTAGCGGGAGAAACAGATATATCAACAAGCAACTAAAGCCAGGAAAGTTTTATGATAGAGGTGCTAGAAGATAACAGAGAAAAATATGGCCATCTCTTAGGGAGGTCAAAGAAGGCTTCCTGGGCCTTAAAGGAAGTACAGTCATTCAAGAAATCAACACAGGGAGAGCATTCTAGGCAAAGGGAGCAGTATGTGTAAGAGTCTAAAAAAAGCCTGAAACATTCAGGACACTTAAGTTATGACTGGAACACAGAGTAGATGTTCAGAAAGGAGATAACGCCTTTGAAGGAGTTCGCAAGGGTCAGGCCCACGTGCCACCACTCCTGTCCTCTTCCATCGAGAGGCCTCCAGTCCTTCTCAACACAGCATTCCAGGCAGCCACTTACTTGAAGATGCTTTCCCAGCCCTGTGTGTATGTGTCTCTTGCTAATGAATTTAAACTCCTTCTGTAAAGTAGCAGCTGCTGATGAAGGCAGAAAGCGTGTGTCCTATCAGACCCAGGAACGTGTTTTGAGATATGTTTTCATTTTTGAGTCTGGTAAATCGCTCATGGGTGTTCATCATATTTATTGTGATTTGTAATTTACATATATGTTACTTGTATTGTTTTGTATGTTTAAAGTATTATAAAAATTAAAGAGGGTAAAGTAAAATATCTGGGGAGCTTTTTCACGGCTCACTTATCTATGTAGATGTAAGTGAGGGTTGCATTATGGACAGTGATGCAGACACCACACACCTGAACAGTCTTTCCAGGTCACAGCACTGAAGGACTATATTTTTAGCATTTGTTCTAAAAAATGATTTTTTCATATAGATCTTTATATTACCGTTTATATAGTTCTTTACAGTTTACAGTAGTCTTCTACCATTCTGAGCAGATCCTCTGATCTCCTTTTTTGTCTCACTTAATTGTAATTTACTAAGTTAGTAAAATACTAGAACTGAACCTCCCCTAACTCGGGTGTTCTGCCCATGCTCTGGATTTCCCCTGACACAAGGGACAGGGTTGGGAGGTCTAGTAGCTGCAGTAGCCCTAGGATTAGCCAGTGCACTGAAGAACAGCTGCCTTTTCATTCAGGGCTTCCAGCAGGTGACAGGGGCATAAAATTGGGGAGGAACCTTGAACTCAGGGTTCCTATATCTAGTGTATTTCTCAGCAAAGAGCCTTTTATTATTTGGCTCTTTGTATAATTATTTTTAAACATTAATGCCTTTTCCCAAGGACAAATTCCATGTTATCTTCATGGAAGATAGATCTATCCTTCTAACCTTTAATTTTTTGCTGTATGCATTGAGATTACTTTGAATTGGCATATTGTTTGAAATATAATTCATACATTGAGATCTTGAATTTGTTCCCTCCTTTGACAGAGAGCCTCACATGGACTAAGTATGGAATACATGGTGGTGCTGGTGATTATTTCTCCTGGTATTTTGGACGGTGTTACTCAGAACCTCTGACACTATATATTAAATTCTAAATATTCCATCTGGGTCTAGAAGAGCAATATCATAAAGATGTTATATTTGGTATCAAAATTCAACTAAAAGCAATTTGATTGCGTTGATTTTAACATTATCTTATACAATACACAGTTCTTCAGTATACAACCCAATAGATTTCTTACATATACACCCTGTACCCACCATTATTCCATTTAGGGTACAGGGCCTTTCCAGCACCCCAAAAATAAATAGCCACAAGTTTTTTAAATGTAATTTTAACTGACATTTTCTTCTCAATAAAAGGTGACACTTCATATTTTCTGGATCTTATCTGTTGTTAATGGAACATTGTTAATTCTCATATTCTTCATTTGCACATCAAACTGTTTATAAAATAGTACAAATTTAAGAGAGCAAGAAGAGAAGCTACGCAGCAAGTACATCTTGAACTAGACCTCCTGTGTGGCTAGTATTAATTTGTGAAATCAACTTTAGAAATTGCTTTACTTTAATAGAAAAAAGCTTACTTTTAAAACAACTTTATTAAAATTGATTTTAAAAATCACTAAAGGCCCGGCTGGGCGTGGCTCAGCGGTTGAGCATTGACCTAGGATCCAGGTGATCGGGGTTCGATTCCCGGTCAGGGCACAGGCCCAGGTTGTGGGCTACAGCCGATCAATGACTCTCTCATCATTGATATTTCTATCCCTCTCTCTCCCCCTCCTCTCCTCTCTCTGAAATCAATAAAGATATATTTAAAAAAAAACAAAACACTAAAAAGCTGGAATAAGATATGTTAGTATTTCTATGATCTCTAGGTTAAAAAAAAGGTTTTCTGAGCATATTGGCAGCGCTTGATGTGTTACAAAGTAAAACACAAATTTGGCTAATAAAAATGTTTGAACTTCCCAAATCAAAAGTGAAATTAAAAACCAAAAATATACAAAAAGTTTCCCGTGATAAAGAGCTATAGATAAATATACTTAATATGGAAAGAGCTCATACAGGTAATTCACACTTAAGACACCAAAAGAAAAATGGACAAAGCACATTGATTTACAAAATAGGAGCTACAAATGGCTGATTAATAACTGAAAATTATCCAAAAGAACTGAACATTTCCTTCCCTATTTAGGAAATGCAAATGGAAGCAAAAATACCTTATTTTAGCTTTATTGTAGGCTAGCACATATAGAAAAGAGCAGAAGTCATGACCATACAGCTTAATAAATCATGTGAAAATGATTACATTTGAGTTGCCACCCCCCAGCCAAGCAATAGAACGTTACCAGTACTCCTGAAGCCCCTCACATATCCCTTCTCGTCTCTATCCTTTCCCTCATCCCAAAGGTAATTATTTTCCTGATTTTTTAGCAGCATAGATTAATGTGCACTGTTTTTGAACTTTATGCAAGTAGAATCATACAATATATATTCTTTTTTAAAATTTTATTTTATTTTTGTTTAAAATATTACAGATGTCCCTTTTTCTCCTCAATGATCCCTTCCACTGCGTCCCATCCCCCTCCCCAGTCCCTCTCCCCACCATTGTCCGTGTCCTTGGGTTGTGCTTATATGCATATTCTTTATCTGATTTATTTTCAGTAATGCGAGAGTCACTATGTTGTCACATGTAGCTGTAGTTTGTTCCATTTCTATAGTTGTATATATCCCACTGTGTGAATAGGCCACAGTTTATCCATTCTACTGCTGATGGACATGTGAGCTGTTTCCATTTTCTGGCTATAATGAATAATGTCATTAACATATCTTTTGGTGCACATGTGCAGGCATTTCAGATGTGTCTTGGAGTAGAAATTCTGGGTTGTAGGGTATATAAAGGGTGGAGCAAAAGTAGGTTTACAGATGTTCGTATGGAAAATAATACAATAATTAATAAGTAGTAGTACAAGAATAAACTGTTTCACGTGCATACTCACAACTATAAACCTACTTTTGCCCCACTTTGTATTTTAAATTTGCTAAGAGAATAGATCTTAAAGGTTCTCATCACAAGACAAAAAATTGTAACTGTGGCGATGGGTGTTAACTGGACTTACTGTGATCATTTCACAATACATACAAATATCAATTATATCTCAAGAAGAAAAAAAGAATGATTTGGAAGGAGGTACCTCTGATACAGAGACTTAATCATTGCTTGCGATTGTCACTAGTCCACACAAGGCCCCTCTTTTATTTTACTCCTTTTTCCCCTCTTCGTCTTTGATCTTCACTGCCAGTTCCTCATTCCCACTGTCGATACCTACTTTAATCTGTTTGTGTTACGTGTCTTTGGCTGTCTGTCTAATGACGGTTGCTTTGTTGCGTGAGTAGTTAATGCATCCACGTAAGTGGCAGTGTCCTGTACTGTCTGTAGCTCCTTGTTTCTGCCGTCCGTCGGTGGTCACCGTGCTCGCTTACCCATTTCCCTAGTGGTGAATGGCTGTTTCGCTTCTGATTAAAACTGTAAGAAATGTTGCAATGAGTGTCCTAGTTACATGCTTTTCACTGAACCTGTGCATATTTTTTTCTGTGGTTTATTCCTAGAACTAGAATTTCTGGGTCTAGGAAAACGCATACACAGTTTCACCAAGTCCTGCCAGATTGCTTTTCAGAAAAGTTGCCTCATTGTACATTCTCACCAGTAGTACATGAAGGTGTCTCTTACCCTGTATGTCTACCAATTTTTGATATTATCTAGCTTTCTAATTTTTCCATTTAGTGGACATAAAGTAGTAACTCATTATTTTAATTTGTATTTCTTGGGCTCTTAATGAAGTTAGGCATCTTGATAAATTTTCTTATTGTTTGGGTTTTCCCTTCTGTGAGCTGCCTGTTTATGCTTTTGCCTGTGTTGGATTCTCTATTTTTTTAAAAATCATTTGCTTATTCCTTTTATGATAATGAATATTAATGGATTTTGTTTGACTTCTTTACTGTAGATGCTATTATAATTATTTTCATTTTAAAAGGGAGAAAAGCTGTAGAAATACTTTAAAAAGTCATAATAAAGTTAATTTTTGTTTTTAGTCCAGATGTCAGAGCATTCCTTCAAATGGACAGCCCAAAACATCAGTCAGACCCATCTGAAGATGAAGATGAAAGAAGTACTGAGAAGGTAGTAAGAGGGATTGTATTTTTGAACAGAAAAAATACCATTCCCTAAAGATGGAATTATGGGCACCTTTAGGATATTTAGTTAAAACGAAGTCATTTTACCCATTTTAAGTTTTTTATTCTGTAGAATGCATAAAAACATGTATATTCTACAGAATACATAAAAGCCTCTTACTGATTGCGGTTATAAAATTTATAAGTGAGTACTTTTTACGATGAAAAAATAATACATTAAAGAAGCTTTTGAAAATAGTAAAAAGGGAAATATTACCCATATATCACCAACCAGACCTAGTTATCTTTAACATTTTAGTGATTTTCTTTCTAATCTTCTCTTAACATATAAGGAATTTTTAAAATTATCTAATTCTAATTATATAGTGTATATACAGTTTTGTATTCCACTCTCTTCAATTTACAACTTCTTTTTTTGGTCACTGTATGTTTTCATCTTCACTATACTTGAATAGAATATTTTTATTTTTTAAAATAAATTGTAATAAATATAATAAGCTCTTGCCTTACGAAGATATTTTCTACACTTACTTTAAAAAAAGATGTGGGTAAGAGAAATTACAATAATTTAACTCAAAGAATTAATAGTTAGCAATTCAAATGATAATTGCAAATGTTATAAATATGATAACACCTTTATAATTCAGAATTGATTATTAAGTATTTGTTAAATATATACATAAAAATCAGAGGTGTTGCAGTGAAGGCTTTTTTTTTTTTTTTTTTTAATATGTTTTATTGATTTCAGAGACAGGGAGGTAGAGGAGGGAGAGGGAGATAGAAACATCAATGATGAAAGAGAGTCATTGATCGGCTGCCTCCTGCACACCTCTTGCAATGGGGATCGAGCCCAAAACCCAGGCATGTGCCCTGACTGGGAATCAAACCATGACCTCCTGGTTCATGAGTCGACACTCAACCACTGAGCCATGCCGGCCGGGCCATTTTAGTTTTTATAATATCCTTTAATTATGTCATGGTTCTGTTTTTATAATTTAAAAGATAATATTATGAGTTGGAACATTACTGTATCACAGCTAAAATCTTCATTTGATAATAGATGTATTCCTTTTTTTGACTGCTGGGAAGTAGTAATGTTTCTCTGATGCCAAAGGGGATTCTCAGTTAAGAGAACAGGTTTAACTTTTTCATCTGTGACAATGTATTGTTTCATAAGAAACATATTATTATACATCAGAACTTTTGTTCTTTATTTTTAAAAATAGCTTGTATTCTGGAGATTGTCATAAGTTTCAAATGAATTTAAGTGGAAATACATATATTTGTCTCTAATAAGAAATTGCTTAGATAAAATTTATTGGTTCTGATTAACTTAAAGAGAAGTTTTTGAAAGCTTATTTCATGTTTAAAGCTTATATGAAGAATAATTATATAAGGCTCTAGTAAAAGTATCCATCTTTATTGGAAAATTTGAAAAACAAAAGCCATCTTTAACCAGGTTTTTAAATGGAAAAATTATCCCTCTTAAATTGTTGTTTCAACGCCCACCTCTTCCAAGGAGCTTTCCCCGGTTTACTTCATTCATTTGCCACTGTGAGCTTAATTTCTGCCTTACCACTTTCCTTACAACTGCTCTTGAAATTGATCATAAAAATGATTATGGATGTTTCCAAATAAGTCTGTATGTTTATTAAGAATTAGGACTTTAGGTTTCTTTAGCATGGCACTACATCAAATATTTGATGCAGTTATGTGTATTTTATTTGAAAACCATTTACTGACCATTGAAGTTCCAATATGAACACTAATTTTTTTTCCTCACTTCAACAGCTACACTCTACCTCACAGAACATCAACCTGGGACCATCTGGAAACCCTCAGTAGGTTTGATTTGTTTCAGACAATCCTTTAAACTTTAGAAGGATCTTTCTTTGTAAATGTTTAGATATAATTTTACCAGTTCGACTGGAAGCCTAAGAGATATAACCATAGTTACAGTGAATATAATAGTCTCCTATGCTTGCCTAATTTACTGCTCTAGCTTTGCATTGCTTTAGTGGAGCTCTGAGGCATTTTTAACCCACAAATTATTGATCAGGTTCCACTGTTTTGCCTCCCGCCCCCGTGTGTGTGTGTGTGTGTGTGTGTGTCTGTGTGTGTGTGTGTGTGTGTGTGTGTGTCTGTGTGTGTGTCTGTGTGTGTGTGTGTGTGTGTGTAAAGTCAGTAGACTGTATTTCCCAAGGAACAGTAAGTCCTGGGAGGTACTTGGGAAGTGTTCTGGCAGAAGCATCCGGGCAGGCCTAATTGATATTCTCCGGGTGCTCAGTGTCATTGGTGCAACCATAGTCCTTATCCAGCTTGTTCCAGAGTAGTCACGATGCACATTAGTTTATTAAAGGCTGCTAAACTTTCTTTTTGCACTTTCTCCCATAGTCCCATATTTAATTGACCCCAGGGGAAATGTTTTGAGGAACACCAGGAGTGGTAAATATAGACTTTATCTTGAGTGTCAATTTATCGGAAGTGAATACCTAGGACACTGCATACAGACAATTCCAAGGCCACTTCTTGGCTCAGTTTGAGAAGTGCCCTGACGGATTAGTAATGTCTGCCTGGGTTAGAGAAGGAGTGTTGCTGTCCTCACTTATAATTATTTTTACACCCTTACTGGACTAATTCTAAAGTATTCTATCTTTTATCCCAGGATACTTCGCTTCCCTCACCCTTTTGGTCCACTTAAACAGTGAGTATAGACAGTGAAGAGACATGGTCCAAGGATTGGGTCATGGGACACTTCAGCATTATAGTAAAATCAGAGAGGAGCCAGTAAAGGACACTAAAGGAAGAGTAAATGGGAAGATAGGAGAACGAGGAATGTAGTGTCACACAAGCAGGTGAAGAAAGCTTCTTGAGGAGGAGCAATTGACTGTTAATATTGCCAGTAGGGCAAGTAAGGTGAAGTCTGAGACTCGGTCCCTGGTTCTTATAAGTTGCTGGTGACCATTTGGAGCAGTTTCAGTGGTGTGGTGGGTACAAAGACCCCGCCGACAGGAAAAGCTTCAAGATAGAACTCGAGGAGGGGACAGCAGCTATAGACAGAATTTAGACCGCTTACTTGAGTTTTGCTGCAAAGGAAAGCACAGAAATGGGATGGTAACTGGAAGAGCTAAGTTTGAGTTTGAGCATTTTTCCTGCCATCATAGCATTGAGTTGGTCAGGCAGCACAAAAACAAATTTACTTTCAATTAGGGTTTGTCACCAGCAGTTAACAGTGGGGCCTCAGTTAGTGTGTTTACCATGAGGGATTTGCATGTTTTTTTCACTATTATATTTGTTTAAAAAATTATTTCAGTATTTCGGCATATTAAAGAACAGAGTAGTCCAAAGAACACGTTCTTGAAGAAGAAAACATCTAAGCTTAGTTAAGTATTTATCTCCCTAACCTTCCCCTGTTATTATTTAACCTAGACTTGGTGTTACTCTCATGTTTGAATTGACTATTTCTTTCAATGATGAATTGAAGGAAATTTAGACTCTAAATGGAGTCATTCCCCTCTCCTTAGTACAGCTTGGGAATTCAGACTGTGCTGAAGGGAAACAGCTCTTCTGGCTGCTTACGCTCAACTTTCTGCTGCCCTGTGCTTTAACCTACAGACAGCCAACGCTGTTTCTACCTGACAGGATAATAGAAATAAAAGGACAATCCTAGTATTCCCTCTGGCTTCTCTACCCCTGGCTTTCCTACAGTACCATCTATGAGAATAAGCAGAGAGGTCTTTATCTGTAATGTATAATAAATTATTGATATGCAAAACACTGTGATGACTTTTTTCCTCAAGAAATTTTTCTTAGTGACTTTACTAGGTGTTTGAGCTATTAACTTCCTTTTCAGAAGAATTACCAAACTAGAGAGTCCTTGGAATATATTACTAACTTATATAGTTATTCAGTTTCTTCATTAACAGCATTGGTGAGGTTTATAGTTAATAAGATTAGTTTAGATAGAAGCTACATTGAGTTAAAAACTATAATATCTCATTTTCTTCTAATGATGCTATTATCAAAGTTCCTTTTAAGTAGAACTTAACAAGGCTTAAAGTTGTAAAATATCTAATCAGAAAGTAGATATTATTTATTATTACCTATTTTATATTAAAACGGGTTACTACTAGCGTGAAAGCTGAAGTCATCATGCTGAAGTGTTTTGTATCCAACATTTACTTATTAAAAAGTGTGCTGAGAAATGTTTAAAAGTTAATATTTGTCCAGTTTCTAGGAGGCTAATTCTTGTTGTTCATTTATTTCAGTGCTAAACCAACAGACTTTGATTTCTTAAAAGTTATTGGAAAAGGCAGCTTTGGCAAGGTAAGAGTGTATTTATTTTCTCATTCCATAAGTAAGTACTTAAGGAATGCATGCTTTATACATGCCAGGCCACAAAGCCTGTTGGTATGCAGGACATGGAGTTAAGATCCTTTCTCTGCCTTCAAAGTACTGACAGAATAATTAGGGAGATAAGGCATCTACTGAAATTCTAACATAAAATTCATTTGTTCAAAAAGTATTTGTTGAGCACCTACTATGTGCCAAGCACCATTCCAGGCCCTGTTTAGATAATACTTAATAAAACTGACATGGTTGCTGCTTTTGTGGTGCTTACAACCTAGTAGGGGAAACAGTCAACTAAAAATATGCAGTCAAATAAATAATTGTAAGTATAATGGGGCTATGAAGGAATCGAAGAATAGGGTGAAGTGACAGAATACTGTAGGCAGTGGTGTGGACTCCCTACTTAGGTGGGTGGGTCAGTGATTGCTACTTTGAAGAGGTGCTATTTAAGCTGAGGCGGAAAATACAAAAATGAGCAGCTGTGTAAATAATAGTTGGGGGAGAAAGGGCCCTGTGAAGACCCTGCTTCTCTTTGGAAGTGATTGTCAGCTGAATCACTTAACTTGACAGTTGTGGCCACCAGGGAAGGAGAATCACTTAAGGCCAGAAGTGCTTTTTTTGCATTATATGTCAATCTGTAGTAAAAATAAATATGCATGTATTTAATTCTAGTTTGCTATATGTATAGCTCTCTGTATCTCTGGCTTGTTTTCTGAGTTCTCTAGACACTAGAAACTGTGATCATGCAGTTAAACCCATGTGTGTTTATTAATTCAGCAAATATGTATTGACCAGCTGCTACATGCTAGGCAATAGAAAGATAGAAATAGATCTGCTCTCAAAATGCTCACAGTCCCTTGAGATGTTAGAGATAATCTGTCACTAATAACAAAAAGCATTATCTTTTGGAAACTTCATGTTTAGTTCTTGCATACAGCATGAGGTGTAGGGTCATAGTTTATTTTCTTCCCTATGAATAGCCAACTGATCCCACATAATTTATTGCAAAGACTGTTCTTTCCCCACTGATCTGAAGGGTAACCATCATATATCCAGTGTCTATATATGCATGGATCTACTTCTAGATTTTATGTTTTATATTTGTTTCTCGATTTTATATTGTGTTTCAGTAGTCTGTTTATTCTTGCACCAGAACCAGTGTCTTGACAAATGTAGCTTGATTTCCAACAGGACGAGTCCTCCTTCCTTGTTGTTCTTCATGAGGCTCTTCTTAGCCCTTTACATAGCTATATAAATGGTAGAATTAGCATGTCAATTTCCACAAGAGCCTATTGGATTTTGATTGGGATTGCATTGAATCTGTAGATCAATTTGAGGAGAATTGTCATCTTCACATTATTGAGTCTTCCAATCCATGACCATGGTCTATCCCTTTGTTAATTTAGTTCATTTTTACTTTCTCTCAGTACTGTTTTATAGTGTGCTGTAATGGGCTGGGTTGTATGCACTTTCAAGGACCTAATTACACATCTTTAATTAGATTTATTCATGTGTGTTGGTGTTTTTAATGCTGGTTGAAACATTTATTGAAGCTGAATGTATGCATTACCTGTGACGCATTGGTTCTACTCCTAGCTATATATCCAACAGAAATGCATGCACATATGCACAAGGAAAGGCACATGCCAGAATATCCATAGCATCATTATTCGTATACAATCTAAATGTCTGTCAACAAAAGATTGGAGTAAATTGTGTACTGCAATAAAAATTCAAAAACTATACAACATGCCACAACTTGAATGCATATTAGATAATTTAGAGTGAAAAAAATTAGGTAGAGACAACTTTACGTGATTCTGATTAGATAAAATTCAAAAAATGACAGAAATTACCTGTGTTATTGCAAGCTGAGATAGTGGTTAGCTTTGAGGAAGATGGGGATGAGTAGTTTCTGGAATGGGGCCAAAGCGGGGCCAAAGTAGTTACATAATGTGTTCATTTTGTAATAATTTACTGACTTGTAATGATTTGTGAGTTATTTTAGTTATCTGTTATGTTTAAAAAAATTTTAAATCTTGCAAAATGACTAGAATCCAACAAAGTGCAGTAAAACAAAGAAAAGTATAATACACAAAAAGAAGGAAAAACAGACAAATGCAAATTCACAATGTGTTTGAAGAATAGAAAAATATATGATAGGCTAAAATAAGTAACGACCAGCTAACATTTATTATCTTTTCTCCAGTGAGTGGACTCGGTTTCACTTTCCATTTGCACATTTGTTTCTTAACCATCTGGCTGTTCTCCCAATCTACCAATCAAATAGGAAAAAATGCCTACTTGAAGGAAATGATTACCTCCTAATTGCCACATTTTTGGAATTATTATCTCATGATGTACTTGAAGATAAACCAATGAAAAGTGTAAGAAGAAAAGAACATTCAAAAGAGTGAAATATTGCAGAGAACAAAAGAATGGGGCATGAGAAAAATGCCATCAGTTGAGCACAGGACATTTTCACTCTGAAGATGTTTTCACTACATCTTTCTGAGTAACAAACATTTTTTTCAAATTAATAGACTTTATTTTAGATTTATAGAAAAACTGAGTAAAGAGAAAAATACAGCCCTGGCCTGTGTGGCTCAGTTGGTTGACCCCACGCACCACGAGGTCACCGGTTTGATTCCCGGTCGGGGCACATGCCTGGGTTGTGGGCTGGACCCCCAGTAGGGGGTGTGTAGGAGGCAGCACATCAATTTTTCTCTTTCACTCTCTCCCTTTCTCTTCCTCTCTCTCTAAAAATCAATAAAGACTTTAAAAACAAAATTTTTTTTGAAGAACCTTTATAGTTTTACTCATAATCACTGTATTAATTTACATCTCCACTGAGAGTATACAAGGGTTCCCTTTTCTTTCTTTTTTTTTCTTTTAATCCTCACCAAGGATATATTTTCTATTGCTTTTCAGAGAGAGTAGAAAAGAGAGAGAGAGAGAAACATCGATGTGAGAGACACACCAATTGGTTGTCTTCCCACAAGCCTGCAACCGAGGTACATGCCCTTGGCCGGAGTCTAACCTGGGACCCTTCAGTCGTAGGCCAATGCTCTAGCCACTGAGCCAAATGCCTACGGGCGATAAAAACATATTTTTAAAAAGAGAAAATACAGAAAGTTCAGAGAATTCCTGAACCATCCCCCACCCCATCCCCACAGTTTGCCCTTTTATTAACATCTTACATTAGTATGGTACATTTGTTCCAATTAATGAACCAATATTAATGCATTGCTATCAACTTAAGTTCATTGTTTATTTGGATTTCCTTAGTTTTTACCTAATGTCCTTTTTCTGTTCCAGGATCTCATCCACCATACCACATTACATTTAGTTGTGTATCTCCTTAAGCTCCTCTTAGCTGTGACAGTTTCTCAGACTTTCCTTGTTTTTGAGGACCTTGATGGCTTTGAGAAGTACCAGTTAGGTATATTGTAAGAGGTCTCTCTGTTGGAATATGTCTGAAATTTTTCTTGTGCTTAGACTGGGGTTGTAGGTTTTGGTGAGGAAGACAACAGATGTAACGTAAGGCCCAGCAATGCCACTAGGTGTGTCATATCGTCTCAGAAAGCTTTGGAATGTATCATTTAATAGTTACACAACTGGTAGGGCATCTTGAATCCCTTAAAATTACTTGTAAAACCTTGAGCAATTGTCTACCTTTGTATGAGGCAAAAAAATCCTCTTGAGTTTCTCAAGTCCTCGAGAGTGCATGCAACCCAGCCCATTATAGAAACTCGGCTATCTGTGATGCTCCCTTCTCTGAACTCTTTCTTCTGAATTTAAAACCTATAAGAGAAACCTAAAAGTTAAAACAAAAATTCATTTTGATCACCTAGAAATCATTTTCTTCCCCCTTTTTTATGTAGCCATGAAGTTTATAGCCTCAATGTTTTCTAAGTACACTCTTCGGGACTCGTGGTAGGCGCACACACACACACACACGCACAAAGATCGCCAGCAGTATAGATTTTGGTGCTTAAATTTAGTAAAAATATCAAACGCCAGCACACAAAGAAATGGTGCCTAGCTACTCAAATGATCAACATCCTTTTTTTGTTTTATTAAAATACTTAAGGAAAAGTAGATTTATAGAAATAAATTTAGTAGTTTTCAATTTTCAAAACAAAAACATTATATTGTCTAGGTCTTTTGTGGACTTTCTTTTTATAAAATTTAAGTATTGATTTATAGACAAGTGAATTATTCTACTATTAAAGTATTGAAATTTCTAACAGTATGCACAATCTTTAATTACAACAGGTTCTTCTTGCAAAACGGAAACTGGATGGAAAATTTTATGCTGTCAAAGTGTTACAGAAAAAAATCGTTCTCAACAGAAGAGAGGTGACATAAAAGAGCTTTGTTTCTCCTAAGCCCCTTTTCTCAACAGAATTATTTTGTTGTATATAATGCAAGTTGATCCTTTACCTTTTTTTTTTTTTTTTAAATAGCAAAAACATATTATGGCTGAACGTAATGTGCTCTTGAAAAACGTGAAACATCCATTTTTGGTTGGATTACATTATTCTTTCCAAACAACTGAAAAGCTTTATTTTGTTCTGGATTTTGTTAATGGAGGGGAGGTGAGTTTTATAATTAGTTTTATAATATTGATACTGTTTAGAAAAAACAGAATAAAGTCAAAGTTTTTCTTATACATTTTTGGAAGGGTAGTCCACACTCAACAACTATTTGTTGAGTAGCAACAGTATTTAAGGTGCTGGCTAATAAGCACAATGAAAGATGTGGAGAAGCGTATAACACAAAGCTCTTCTTAAATAAGCACATAGTATAGGTGGGAAGGCTTATAAAAGAACCTTAGTATGAAGCTACAGACTTCATGGATAGATTTGCGACTGTGCTATGTAGCAAGAATAATTTACTGAAACAGAATAAAACATGGTTTATAATTTAAGCGATTATTGTTTTAATACTTGTATATAAATATTATTCTACCCTGTCATTTTTTTTATTGAATTTATTGAAGTGACATTGGTTCACAGAATCATACAGGTTTCAAGTGCACAACTCAACAAAAGATCATCTGCACACTGCATTATGTGCCCATTGCCCAAAGCAAACTATCTTTCCATCTCCATTTACCCCCCCTTTGCCCACCTCCCCCTACTCCCAAACTCTTTCCCTC